GACACTTGAGATACTTCTTGTCTTAGTGAAATGGTGACAGTTCTGTTACAGCTTGTCTCAGTGAAATGTTGACACATCTCTAAAATGTTGACATAATTCAGATACAGCTGGTCTTAGTAAAATGTTGACACTTCAGTGAAATGTTGACACTTCTGTTACAGCTTGTCTCAGTGAAATGTTGACACTTCCCTGAAATGTTGACACTCCTGTTGCAGTTTGTCAGTGAAATGTTGACACTTCAGTGAAATGTTGACATATCTCTAAAATGTTGACATAATTCAGATACAGCTGGTCTCAGTGAAATGTTGACACTTCAGTGAAATGTTGACACTTCAGTGAAATGTTGACACTTCTTTGAAATGTTGACACTCCTGTTGCAGTTTGTGTCAGTGAAATGTTGACACTTCAGATACAGCTCGTCTCATTGAAATGTTGACAAATAGCCCATGTTGCTCGTTGACAATCAATTATCATCTTTATCTGTTGCAGGTTGTAGATTGGATTGTAGGACCAGGTGAGAAATTATTATCATCACAACATGACATCGGTTCATCTTACACAGAAGCAGACAAACTGAGAAGAGAACATGAAAAACTAGAACTCAAATGTACCGTAAGTATTCTTATAATTCTTAAAACCAGTATTGGTGTGAATTTCAGTATCTCCCAGTGCATCAAGGACGGTTGCAAATATGTCCTGATGGTAGTTTTAAAAAAAAGTTATGGGAAATATCTCATCTCATATTAACCATAGACCATTAAGAACACAAAAGAAAACTTTGTCATCTTTCATATAATATATCCACAAATCTTTTTTTATTTTTTTTTCACAATTTGGTCAACACCTCTAAGAAATGGAAAATTATTTCAATTTAATTTCCATTTTGTTCAAAATCAATGAATAAGTTAAAAAAAGATAATTTTATATAAAAAAATGTTCAAAATGTTTTGCTAAAATTTAGGCAGGAATAATTATTGTGTTTAATTGATATTGATTTGTTTGACAGGATACCTATGGTATGTATGCTGAGCTAAGACATGTAGCTGATACACTTATAAAAGAAAACCATCCCTTATCAAAAGACATCAGTGCACAGAGAGATTACATGGATACTGTGTGTCGAAGTTTTGCAACAAGATTGGAAAGAAGACGAAATCTACTCATTACCTCAGTTCGATTCCACCGATTAGTACAAGATGTAAGTATTGATGAAACTTGCAGGGCAATATCACTGTTTATTGCCCATCATTGGTTTTCATTCATTTTCCCAGTTTGATTCCACCGATTAGTACAAAATGTAAGTATTGATAAAACTTGCAGGGCAATATCACAGTTTATTGTCCATCATTCATTTTCCCAGTTTGATTTCATTGATTAGTACAAAATGTAAGTATTGATAAAACTTGCAGGGCAATATTACAGTTTATTGTTCATCATTGGTTTTCATTCATTTTCCCAGTTTGATTTCATTGATTCGTACAAGATGTAAGTATTGATAAAACTTGCATGGCAATATTACAGTTTATTGCTCATCATTGGTCTTCATTCATTTTCCCAGTTTGATTTCATTGATTCGTACAAGATGTAAGTATTGATAAAACTTGCATGGCAATATTACAGTTTATTGCTCATCATTGGTCTTCATTCATTTTCCCAGTTTGATTTCATTGATTCGTACAAGATGTAAGTATTGATAAAACTTGCATGGCAATATTACAGTTTATTGCCCATCATTGGTTTTCATTCATTACCTCTAGTACATGGTGTGAGTACTAGTACTTGTAAAACATTAGTGGAATTGGGTTCCCGTAGTATAAGATCTATAAAACTTAAAAATATGTTTTCATCACTTACTCAGTTTTGTATAATATATTATTTGTCATGCTTTCTTCAATTTTAAATCAGCAACTTTGTGTCTTTTTACAGGTTTTAAGCCACTTAGAAGATTTCATAGATTTACTGAAGAGTGATATTCTTGCTGATGACGTGGAAAGTGCAGAAAAATCTTTAAGAGTTCTTCAACAACAATGGGATATGTTATGTAAGTACAGTCATAGATGAGATTTATGCAAATTTCATGTGTTCAAGATTAATTGAAATTTGCCTGGGGCAGTTAGGTGCAGAAGTAGTTGTAGTTATGTCTATCATTTTTGTATTTGCTTTTTTAGAAGCCCATTTTAAAATATAAAACAAAAATAGCATTTATTTTATACTGTATCAATAAAATATGACTTTCACATGTGTCATTTAAGTTGGTCATGTGTTACTGTTAAAGCAAATATGATAGAGGTTATTTGATAATTTGAAGGTATTGTGATGACAACATTTCACAAAAGTTACTGCAACTACATGTCTTTAACTCTTTGATCACCCAGAATTTTTCCTGCAATAATTTTGGTGCATCATTTTGAACATTTTTATGTATTTTTCAATATTTTATTGTTATTGTTAGACTGGATAGATGTAATTTTTCATTGGCTACAAGTCATGATCAAAAAATGTGGAATAAATTATGCAGGCTAACTTTCTGTAAGGTGACAAAAATTGTTTGTAACATGCAAAGAGTTATAAAAATCTAAGTCATGTTTTAACTGCTGAAAATTTTACTATAATTAGTCTAACCAGTGGTACATTACTTGGTGTTTGAAAGTAGCGTGACATGATTTCAAGATCCCAGTTCAATCTCGCTCTCGCATAAGCATTCCCAACTCTGCGAATGCACATGCCCACGGTAACTAGGATACTGGGAGGTCCAGGTGGATCAAAATAGCTGCTCACTATATGACAGATTACAAGAACAATATTTTCTGTACATTTTCGATATATTTTATTGTTTTATTACAAACCTTGAACATTGATATATGTCATGTCAGAAGGGTGTAGCATCAGTCTCGCTATCTACGAGATGAGACTTGAATGGGATTTTGACATGATGTCACTATACAGTACTATGCGCGTTGCAACCTGGTCTAACAAAATAAAAGCGGTATATTATTTATGTTGTTTTTATTCATTGATAGCTTTGTTGATGGAACAAGCCATACGGGAAGCACATACCCTACTTGATATGATGTCTGAAACTATCAAGAATGCTTTCGGTAAAGATATCACTCCAGATTACTCACCGTATAAAACACATGTCCAGGATATACTAGATGATCTACAGAGACGAAAAATACAATGTGATGAGTTAGCTGAAGTCCGTAAACTTAAATTACAGCAGATATTACAGCTGAGAACATGTGAAAGAGATGCAGATCAGGTAAGCATGTATAAACTCTTGTTGTAAATTAGGAAAATCTTAAAAAATTCTTGCCAAAACATTTCAAATCTTATTTTTAGGTACAGTACATGTAACAAATTTGGTGGAATTGATGGCAAAAAGAACGAGGCATGATAACTATCTAATAAATTTTACTATTTAACTATTTTAGCAAATTTTATAGCACTTTATATCTACAAGAACAATGATTGTAAGACAAATTACACCACATCTGTATTTCATCAGATGTGGTGGTATTCGATGGCTTATTTTATTACTATCTGTAAAGGGTTCTTTGGATTCCTAAATTTCACTTCATCTAACAATCCATAAATTAATTGGGATTTAGGAAAAAAAGATTTGGATGAAAAACTGGTATTTTTTACAGAAAATCATTTCCTTATTGACCTGAAGAGGGCAGTATTTTGGGATAGTATTAAAACCAGGAAAGTGCAAAATCTTTAAATATATATCAAATTGCAATGAGTAACTCAGTATATGTAAGAAAAAAATTGCAGGTGATAATATTTTGAATATGATACTGAATATTTTATGCTTATTTTTACCAGGCTATTATATGGTTGATGGAATTATGTGAGGTTATGGTAAAAAGTCATACTGACGTTGGCCAGAGTGCTAGTGAAGCCGAGCATCTTAAACGAGAACATCTCAAATTTGAATCCACTGCCAAGGTAGGAATGAAATATTAACTTTTGATTTTCTTTCTTCAGAACTCCTCGGTGAAATTACTCTTTGCTAAATATGTCACGATCAGTGTCTTTAACCCATTTTTAAAGCCCGCATCTTGAAAGATTTTCCAGATCTGGGACAGTTTTTGACATTTATAAACAAAAAACTCTATTCCCTACTTCCTTAATCATGTTATAAAAGGTGTTAATCACACACACACATCTAATTAGTAGCGTTCACTTTAGAGATCTCGGCATGTGCCGAGACTCGTGCCGAAAAAAATATCTATCAAGGTCCCAATATATGCTCAGGACCGAAACTTGGCACATGCCGAGATTGGCTGTCTGAAAGCTTGGCACTGACCGAAATCACACCCTGGGTGATGAACTTAAGAGAACACACACTGATTCATACTAGTATGAAATGGTGATGAAGGGAAGTCTACTAACAGATCAACGAATAAGGGTGTGAGCCGAGCAGAGTGTGTCCCATGTCGGTCCTGACTAACGTAAATGCAACTGCTGTAATTTCTGTGCAAACACACAAAGGATTAAACATTTTGGCACGTGCCGAGATCCCATAACCTGAACGTAGCAATAGGTGATGTTCTGTTCAACTGTGAGATCTCACGAGATGCATGAAAGACACGCGTCAAACGTCTGCCGCAAAAAACGTATGATTTGATTTTGAACTTGAATTTCTTTATTTTGTAGCTCACATCGACGGGCCGTCTATCTAATGTGTCTATCAAATGTGTACAGCACATTATTAAGCATGGAAATGCCCCCCAAAATATTTTCGCGTTTGTCAAATCCTATGCGATGTTTGACGCCACTACGATGCTATGACCTTTGTTTGTCCTGATGTTACGTTCGATTTCACGCATAACGCGTGATTCTTGCAGTGAACGGAAAATGGTCTATTGATTCACCTTGCCCCTCCTTAACCACACTACCAACTGTAATACCTACAGTAATAACAATGCTACAAGATCACAAACAACAGTGGCAAAAACAATACTACATTATTGCCAACTACAGTGACAACAACACGAAACAATGTCAACAACAATTCCTCCAGCAGCACTGACATTAAAACAACAATATTGCATTAGTAACAGTAATGGTGATGAATATATTTGTTATTATCGTGTACTTAGGGTACCTATGAATATGGTAAACAGTTACTTCAAGCTGCCTTAGTATTGAGAAGATCATTACGATTTGAGTTGTCACCAAACCATGAGAGAGCACAGAAGTTATCTAGGGCTTGGAAACAATTCTCTCAAGGCATTAGTGAAAGATCTTCTAGATTGTCAGTCTCTTACACTTTCCACCGAAATTCTGAAACTGTAAGTGCTTTTATTTTAATTTGTTATTAAAACTTCACTGTCCTTTCCCACTTTTGTAATACTTGATTTTACTTTTTCAATTTTCAATCATTGGTGGGCAACAGCCACATGCAGAAGTTATCACATAATAGAACCCTGTATTGCATTTCTGAAAAAAGCAATTTACATTTACAGCCAGAACTTCAAGACCATTTTGCTACTCTTAGTTCAAAAAAAACAGTTTATGAAAAAAACACTGTTATTTCCAAATTTCTTATTATTTTACAGATTATTGACAAATTAGAAACATTTATACACAAGATTTGGTCCTACATCCAAGGTGTTGATGAGAAGAAACGAGAAGAGATTCTTGCACAGTTTAAACCAGAGCGAGATCAATTGATGGAGAGTTACCATGACACTGTTGCCATGGGAAACGCTTTGTTGGATAGATTAATGCTACCCATTGTTGCTACAGAAAGGTAAATAAATATTTTTAACATGTCACTTGATTTAGTTGTTATTTTGAGGATTACCGTAAAATCTGTATTAGAAGCCGCATCTCTAATAGAAGTCGCACCCAATCTTTTTGAATAATTGAGAATCAAAAATTCATTATTTCTCATAAGTGTAGATGCTCTAATAGAAGCCGCATCCTCTCTGTTGCATTCTACCATTGTAATAGAAGTCGCGGCTTCTAATACAGATTTTACAGTAGTTTCTATCTAGACCTATTATGAATCTGTGGATAGACTTATTACCGTATAAGAGCACACACTGTATGGGACTTGTATTCAGACTGAAATTCATGTTTTTCTCATAAGGTCTATATATTCATTTTGCAAAGAATTTCAGCTTGCTTATTCCGGTTTAAACAAACAAACAATTGCAATTATTGTATACAGAATCATTAAAATATGTCTAATTCTGACCATAGATACATATACGTATGTATATCTAGTACTAATAGGGCAAATACCGTATTGTGTTTTGGAGGTAAAGATGAAGACAAAAAAGCTCATAAATTGATATTGCCTATACAAGTAACAACTATGATCACTGATAATATTGATAAGACCTTCAAGATGATCATGTCTTGTTTTGACCTTTAGAGGGTAGTGTGCAAACAATTGAGAAGTTTGCTTATGGTGTATTGGTGCTATGTGTTGGCAAAATAAAAAAAAGTGTTTTCTGTTTTTGCAGAGTACAGTTGCCTGGAAGTGAGCCCTCAGAGGAGTACAAAAACACAACAGAAATAATCTATAGACTGCTTGATGATTTGGAATGGAACAAACAAATGTTGGATGAAGTGTGGAATCAAGGTGTGGAACCAAGACCGCCCTCTAGAGGCAGACAAGGGAGACGAATCCGAGAGATTGAAGTGAAGAAGGAGATTCTTGAAGTACGGCATACTGCTAAGAGTGATGGAGAACATCCTGGAGAAGATGGAAGAGCAGCATCACCGGAAAAGGATGCAATGAACGGAATGATGGAATATGGAAGAGATACTCCCTCGACTGAAGGAGGTACAACTTCCATGGAAAGGGGTGTGTCAGATGCAGATGCTGATGCAGATGCAGAGTTCTCTTCTGAAAGTGAAGTGTTTGTGAGAAGAGAAACTGCACTTGAAGTAGAGAGTCCAGTCGGGAGAAGTGCTGTATTTGGACAAGAATATGAAAGAGATCTTGAAAGAGATTGGGAATCCATGCAGAGATTGGAACAGAGTATAAATGAGGTAGGAATTAAACATGTGTATAAAACTGTTTTAATAAATTTTGAATGTATGCTACCGTAAATACTCTAAAATTCAAACCACTTTTGAATATCTAGTTTAAAAATAGTTAATAGTTTTAGAATACAAAACTCATTTTTAGAGTAAAACTGATTAAAAATTAAATTAAATGATTAAAAAACATTAGATTCATTAATTGTCAGAAAACAACATTTCCGTCAAAACACAATCACTTGCAACATTTTATGGCCCATCAAAACTCTCAGAGGTCAACTCTTGCTTAAGAAAACATGACGAATTTCAGCATTTGTAAAGAATATAAAATAATTGATTGATAATAATGATGTTATTTTCTATTTAATATGCTGCCACATCCAAGCACTCTGTTTTCAGTATGGACCTTTCATCATGTGCCCAAAATATGTAAAACGCTGTGTAAATACTGATCAACTATTTTTCTGATTATTAATTGTTAAGTAACCACTTTCCCTATTGGCTTTTGGTTGTTGAGTAACCACTCTTTTGATTGGGTGGTATATAATGTTGTTTGTAATGTAACACCTCTGCTGATTGGCTGACCTGTTAGAGCATAACTGATGGACAATTGTGCAAACTAATATGAAGAGTGCCCTCTACATAATCAAAATGCTTTCTGTCACAAATTATCATTAAATTTAAAATAATATTTTGTAGAATATGAAAAAATGTCTTGTATGTAAACTTTTAAAGAATTTGTTGGTGTAGGTTAAATAAGTGTTAAGTAAATAATTTAGTAAATAATTTCCTGAATTGCATTAATATTTTGTTTTGTATATAATATGACATTGTATAATAAGGGTTACCTTGAAAAAATACTTACAAGTCACATAGACATTATTTAATAAGAATTCATATTACATTACTCAGCTACATTTAATAAAAAGTTAATAGTAAGAATTTTGTCTGAAACATTATTATTTTCAATCTCAGATGACAGATACGCTGATCACTTGGTGTATTGTTGTAGCAATCCTTTCTAATTATTAATCTATGGTTGGAATTTTTTATTTTTGTGATATTACTTCCTAATGATATCATTTAGTTAAATAATTCCCGAATTTGTATAACTTTTTTTATACATGTGTTATCCTTGCGGTGTTAGTTTTTGTTCTTGCCCAGAATGCATAAAACATTTATAAATACATTATATGAAAAAAAAGCTTTCACAAAATTCATTCTAAAGTGGTTAGCAGGATTAAGATCGTTAAAAGTAGGCTTTGATTTAAAGTGTTACAGCATGACTATGTGTCTCGCGTAACATGTACAAGGAACATAATTCATGGAGACCATTGCTCAGATGCCCAATCAGCCTTGATGCACATCAATATTTCCTTCACAAATTCAATCAGTTGAAGTCATTTTTAGAAATTCTGATCGTGAAATTGGGTGCCTTCAAAATGTTGAAGTTCAAGCCCTGAATATCTACATGCAAAACACATTTTTTAATTTCACAGAATTTGACTACAATCTCCACAACAAATGAATCACTTTAAGTTTAGCGAATGTTTGAATTATTATTTAACTGATATCAAGAATCATAACCTTTCATTGGAGTTGATTTTGCTAAAAAAAAAGATTAAACTGGTCTGTTCTTACTCTATGATAAAACTTATTCTGTAAATCATATATTTAAGTATACTAAAATGGTAATTTGGATTTAATTAAGTTTGCCTAATTTACTTTATCCTGGTTGCTACGTGATTCTTGTATGGAGAGGTTAACCATGGAGCAATGTCCACTGTGACTTCAATATTCTGTTCATTGAGTTGGCATTAAAAACTCCTATCCTTCACTGCAGTGATACACCAGTAGATATTCATATTTTTGTTGTTTGGTGTGTGTAAATGCAGGACACCAGATACTGAAAAAACGCAAGAAATCTGTACACATGCACAGAGGTCATCTCCACAACAATTATAATATTTATACTGCAGATTTTTTTTTTACTTAGAGATGATCCATTTAGAATTCTTGGGAGAGATTAGAAGAATAGAGTGTAGGGTTGTTTTTTTAAAACAGAATTTTAGGGGTCAACTATTGTGATATGTAACAAGTGATTGGAGACAGTTATTTAGCAGTCTGGCCTTTTAGAAAAATGCTGGGTGGTGGACAAGAACTTATTCCCAGCAATTGCTGCCCCCTCCATCCTGTAAGGATCCGTTTGTGGTATTGGATTCCTTTTGGCTGTAGATCAAATATGCTGTAGATGAGGTACAAAACTGTACATGATTCATCTATCTTCCATGCAATAAATGCTTTGAATTACACATACACACATGCTTTTTTAAATTTATTACTTTGTTTTTTTCTTCTGTATCCAACACTATGTATTAAAAGCACACCTCCAATGGTAGTACATTTACTAACGGTAGTGTCCAATTTTGTCCAAAAAAAAATAAAATCACAAATTTTGAGCATGCCTGGACATCACACATAATGGGTTAATGATAATGCATGTTGTTTTTTTTGTGTGTTTTTGTTGTTTTTATTTTTCATATAAACATTTCTTAGACATGTTTTAACTGATTTTGTTCAAGTCAAGATTTCTTAACTCACTGATGGACATGATATTCTTGTCATTATTGACAACCTATTAATACACACCTGTACCTACGGGTATGCACTACACTTGGCTGTCACTTTGACTGAACAAAATATGACACCATTTGTAGTTAACACTCCCATCATTGAATTGAATTTCTACGTTTATAATTGACACTGTCACTAAAAACTGGACCCAAATAATGGCTTGACAACTTTCATTCATATACACACATGGAATGTCATTAATATTTATATTAGAACCAGACCATTTTTACAATTATAATATTACAGGATCAATTTATGGGTTGATTACTATGAATGTTTTTTTAATATTGATTACAAGTAGAATTCTGTCACAATCCAAGGATACTTGCACTAATATCATATGTACAGATATAAGACTAAGAAATAGAATGAATATTTATTTAAAGAAAACAAAACAAAATGAAATAATGTTTAAGGTTTAAGTCGCAAGTCCTTCCCAATCTCTATAGTATTGCTTATTATGTAAAAATACCTATAAACCAAAAACTGATCTGAACAATTTGTTTCAGTGCTATTAGTGTTTAGTTTAGAATAGAGGTTTCATTAGATTAGATTAGATTTGATTAGATTAGATTAGATCAGATTAGACTGAATTGGTAGATATTTATTTAACACTAAATCATGCAGTATCTATGGCTAAAACCTGAGCAATAAATGAAGACATAGCAAAAATTAGTCACAGAAATAAAATATAATTATATTGGTCATATACAGTTGTTTTAAAACGTTTTGAAAGGTTCTTGATTATCCAGTTTTAAGGGGTGAACAATGAGACACTTTGTGGGGAGGGGAATTTTGAGAGGCACAAAAAAAAAATTAAGAAAAAAATCATTATGGAATATCTAAAAAAAAATAGCATTTTAGAAAGCAAAAAGGTTTCAGCAATATCATCCTGAAATAAAAAAACTAAAACAAAAATGAGTGAATTGAAAAAATAATTTGCACAGTTTTTCTAGTATCCCTCTCCCAGCGTTTTGTAATGGCGAACCCCTTATGTTCCATATTTATGTTATGCTGCAGCATGCCTGTACAGTATAAATACCACGCATAGTGTACAAGGATGGCAAGAATGCAAACGTGAGTCAGCGCATCGGTTGACAAGATGATACCCTGAAAACCGCCAATTAGATCTAAGAATGTAGACGATGGCGCAGTTGTTAAAACTTGTGACTTTTTAACCTCGATTTTTTTTTCTGTGTCTGTAGAAGTTCTCCAATGGGCCCCATGTTATGTGCTGATGTAGTACATACCATTTTTGATGATCAAACCACCTACCGTTGAATGACCTTGTCAGTTCTATGTTACAGTCAAGTCTATATTAAGCAGGGCTCCTGTTACCAATTTTGCTGTAGTTATAGAATATAATTCTTGAAAACCAAGTTTTCTCAAAAAAAAAAAAATGTAGTTTAATGTGTTTATAGGTCAAATTTGCATTTGTTTCTTGATAACTCTAATTTTTTTTATATATACTTTCAATAAATTTAAATGAAGAAAAAATTCATAAATAGTTTTGTTGTGTCGCAAATTTACAATTTTCTGTGATATAAATTTAAATAATTAAAAATTAAATAATTCCCTTTGATTAAAAAAATCTGTTTCTGAGATCTGAAAGAAAAATTTAAAAGTCAGTTCTGAAAAGTTCTGATTAATACTGATACAGTTATTATATTTTTTTACAATTTGTCAAATTAATCTATACCAACTGTTGTTGCTAAGGGATGAGGATATAAATAATAATAATCTTGAATAAATTATGCTGTAAATTAAACTAAAATATAATGAAGTCTTACCCCCTGGGTGGAGATCTTCAGTTGGTTTACTTGCCAGATGGCTTGGTGTTTCCTTATATGGTGTTTGCTCATTAATATTAACTAGTGTCAGTTTATGTAATGAGGCCCAAAGACTATATAGATAAGTGTGTGTGAAGTGGCATCTCTCAGTGCGTGTAGGCTGTGTTAGTGTGAGCGTGTGATACAGTTTACCACCCATGGCACCATTACCTCAACCCTACTAGTAGTTAATTGGTTTGTTAGCCCTAAGTCCTGAAGGGGAGAGATACCATTTAACTTTGGCAATGGCCGAAAGACAACTTGAAGAAACTAAAGTGCCACTACCTGTGACTACCATCTCTACCATTGCCATACAGGCTGGAGAAGCCAAAATTGTTATAGCCATCTTAAGAGTAAGTACTGACTCTCCTTAATGTTATCTATGGTATTCAAACTGGTATGCGGCTCTCTCTAATAAGGGGGTTCCTTTTATCCTAGAGTCTAGTCTGTATGTTTGAATCTGGTAAACAGTAATTTGATGTTATCAATAGTTTGTTTAGAAATATGGTTTTGTTTTCCTAAGCGGCTAGTTTATACAGAAGTCAGCATGTTATGTTGTCCTCTGAGAAATCTGATTTACATCAGTGCGTCACTACATATTTTCTCCTTATAGGGGTTTGTATGTCAGCATACTCTTACTAGTTTAGCAAATTAACTATCTCCAAGTCCCCTAAGCAGGATTACGATCTTGTTATATAAATATTGAACTTGAAAAATAAACACAAGTATGAATTATGATCTTTCTGCTTTGAACTCTTCCGATAAAGATATAAATTACAAAAAGGTCACCAAGTATATTACTGGTGTAATTCAGACGGACGTTTTGAAGTTATAATCGTATTTTAGTCTACTTTTAAATTCTTTTAGATATGCATTTATTGTATCAAAAAATAAATTAAAAATTTTGTTAATATTCTTTGTTTCATAGTTTTCTGGTCTTTTTCTTTCTTTTTTGAAATAAGTTTTTATAAGAAAAAAAAATCCTACTGTTTTGTTTGTAAATGGGGCAAAGGTCTTGAAACACAAGTTAATGTAAACACAACAGCTGTGTGCAAGTTCACTAAGCTGTATCCAGTATTCTGCCCTTGGTGGATCATTGGAAAAACTACAGAATAGTGTTTGTTTATTTGGTTCTAGACTTACCATACTTAGCTTAGTGACTCTCACCTTTCACATATGTCAGGTACTGTGGAATACTTTATTTTCGCTGGAATTTATTTTCGCTCAAAAGGCTTTTTGGGCGTTTTGCTTGGAATTTATTTTCACTGATTTTTGATGAGATTAATGTAAAATATAGGAAAAAATGTATATTCACCGGATTTTATTTTCACGGAATCATCCCTTCAGCGAAAATAGCGAAAATAAATTCCAAGCGAAAATAAAGTATTCTACAGTAATCCATTTTCTAAAACATATGTTAAATCATTAGAGTGCTTCAATTGTAAAATATGGATAACTAACATGGCAACTGAATGCTAAGTCGTCCACTGTTTATGTCAATCACCATAAATGATTAGACAGTAGATTCTTTACAAGAATTGATGCAGATTTACTGGTCTTTGAAAAGAATGAACTGAATTTCATACAAAATTTTTAGCAAAATAAATAAAAATAACTAATTATGTAACTGTGGATTAACTTTATTTTTGGCATAATTTTTTGTTGCTAGAAACCAGAAATTGAGTTGATACCATTTTTTGATATCCATGGCCATCACCTCGTTAATAAAAAGTATCACAGATTTATAATTCTGCTATCATTTTATCTGGAATTCTTAAGGGTTGTTCATTACAAACTGGAGGGGGCAGTGGATGTTGGTAAAATGATGCTGCACAAAGACAGAAATCCTGCAGAGAAAATGACAAGAAAAATAGTTATTAATAATCCCACATACATAAAGCTGAAAGAAAAAAAAAAAAAAACCATTGCAACATCATCCTAACAAAATTGAATAGTTTGTGCTGTACCTCCTTCCCCCCTTCATAGGTTTCTGATGGTCAACCCCTTACTTTTGGAATACAGATTTTGTGATTGTGACCTGTTTTCTTCCAAAAGTGAAATTCAAGATACCATCTGTTATTTCACCTTTCCCCCCACATCAATGTCTAGATTATAAACTAAATGTGGTTTCCATTGGTGTCACTTTATTTATATTAAACAACTTTTACCACTGGTGATGACAAATTCATTGTGTTGGCTTCTTATATAACCTCTATGGACAAGTACTGTGCTGTAGTAGCACAAAATCAGTACTATGCTTAACTGGCTTTGTATAAATAGGTAAAGCACATGGTTTATCTCTAATATAAATCAGTACTTGATTGATTTAATTGTCTCTCAACATTTCTGTAACATTAACCAGTACTGCCTGTCTGGATCAAAATAATATTAAATGCTTATATCCAGGGCTGGGCCAGAATAATTGACTAGTTCTGGAGTCATTGCAAAACTACTCATAACGCTGCCTGATTGGCTACCCAAATCTAACACATGACAGTCAGACCAATCAGAAAGCAGCTGTTTATTTTGACTCAACTGCAGTTTTGTACTAGATTGACCTTCTTGGGCTGTACTCTGTCTTGTTCAAAATAACATTGATTCTCTGTACTTTGTGAATCACATCCTTTGGGCACATTGTACGTTTATTACCGGTAGTTGTCGATACATTTAGGCTGAGAAAAAATATCTCTGTTTCTCATTTCCGCGTGCATCATTTTGAACTATGCACCTCGGACGTTTTTTTCTTTCTAAAGCACTCCAAAATGCGCTTGTACTTGCACTTGTCTCAAATTTCCCCCATTTTAGCTCAGTATTCAAAAAAAAAAAATCGCCTCGCCGCCTCATTTTAAAATTTCCATGAAACGAGAAACAGAGAATTTTTTTTCCTGGCCTTACATTAATGACAGTGATGCATATATGATCATAATATGTCATCTTTTACTGACTCATTTGTTGGTTTAATTCTGCTTTTACATTGTCTTAGGGATTCTAAAAGAATGAAGCTACTGTATTTACTCAGCAAATACCAACAATTCTATTTATTGTATTCTGAATCTATGAAATACTATAAACCACTCTAATTTCATGAGAAACAATTTTTTGTGAATTTTACTTGATATGAAAATCTCATATTTTGTTAGTAGCAGTGATAATTTTACTGTAGGATATTATGACACAAAGTTTTGTCTTTGAATTTTGTTTTTAAAATCATAGAAGTTTCTAGAAGTGATAATAGAGGGTTTTACGTAAGTGTATTACAGTGTTTTTTATAGCAGATCTTGATGTAGGAATTCTGGGTCCTTGATTTATACTTTGTACATGTAAGCTGTTAGTACACTGTAAAAATGAACTTTCAAATTATTTTAAAATATGAATATATTGAAAAATCTACTATTTATATTTCATTTCACATATGCAATACTTTTAATGGTAAGATAAAGATGATACAATAATTTTGCCATTTCCACCATTATTTAGACTTGATTCCTAAAATATTGTCTGTTAACTCTAATTTGTTTTTCTGATTCTCTGTTTCACAATAATATTAACCTCTATGACATTGAAAGTATTCATGGCCTTCTCAACATTTGAGTGCTAAAGACAACTTTTGTCACCATCCAAAAAATAAAATAAATTTTTCATTTTTCCCCCAAAAATCTTTTTATAAAAATATAAAACAAAAATATAGAATAATACATAAAAATAATAGAATGTTGCACCTAAATGTTGACAAAAAATTATGTAAATATTTGTCATTGACTCTTAGAAAGTATTTCCATGAGAAAAGAATCATTTTTTAAAAGTTAATTGAATTGGTTTAAATTATAATTTCTTTTATGTCCCAGGTTTTATATAGAATTTATTATGTGATGTAAGGATAGGTTTTACCTGAATTTTTAACTGTTTGTTTATTTACTCAAATTTACGGTACTTGTAAATCACTATGAAATTGTTAACTACCAAAATCTGTTAACCTTTTGAATGCCATGCAATTCTTTTTCATGCCTTTAAGTAATTTTTACTGGCATTTCTTTGTTCATTTTAGAAAATACATTATAAGTTTTTGGGTTTATTTTGTGAAAGTTGACACAAATTGACTTTGGTGCTTTGTTTAACTCAGCTTAATTTCAGTTCTTTAGTTCCTATGCAACATTCTTGCATAAATTGCAATACAGATTATATCCAAATTTAATACTGGGCTGGTTGATATATGAACTGAATGTAAATTGAATTAAAACTGAAACCTCTGTAAGTGCTAAATAAATCTCAAACTAAATTCCCAAACTATTGAATTGCAGGATACTTAACAGTATGTAGTACAGCATTACTTTTCAGTTCAAATGCTATATTTACATTTGTCTGAATTATGTAAGAATTTGCTAGTTGTCTTAAATTCCATTCTCCATGTCATTGAAATTACATGCTGTGCTCAGAGAAATTAGATTTTTACCCAATGAGTGTGTGTTTTCAATCTGGCTAAAGTGAAATCCAAAGTAATGTATTTGAGTTCACACACACAGTTGCTTAGCATGGGGTCAAAAGCATAAGCCTGTACTAAGAAGACCTGCGCCAATGTTTAATACAGACTAAAAATTGGATAGTTTTAGCATGGATGTTACATCCATGGTTTGAGCTAGATGTGATCCATTTTTAAGACCCGGTCCAGAACTTTAGTACACATAAAAAAAAATGTTTGTAAATGGCTTGCCTAGGACTATGCGTAATCTGGGATGACATTCAAGAAAAAAATTGTATACAGTGTCCTTAGATAGATTATTCATTTGGCTATGTACTTTCTAACATAGCAAGCAATATGAGAGGTTTTGAAGTAAAAATAAATGGATTTCCTATTAATCTGCAGCTATCTGCATTTGCATTGTTATTGTTTTGTTACCAAGGAGCTAAAATTTATATTTCCCAGGTATCTAACTGAAAAATCAAAGTTAAAAATTTGGAAATTTGCACAAGTTAAAAAGTTGGTAGTGTTTCTTAGTCTGTACTAACTGTTAACCCCCTCTGTGTGTGGATGCAACTGGGTGTATCCAATATGCACATATATGAGATTAGCTTTAGTCTCTACTAGTATGTAACCTGAACACAACTACCATACAGAAGATAATGATAAAAATAGTCTATTTTTACACTCAACCTGAGTTCTACTTCCATGGTTAAAAATAATTGAATTCAATTACAGGTACTGTTTTTCTGCCTTCATTTTGTACATATACCAATGAACCTACCGGTAATTTTCCACTCAACTACAGTTCTCGATCAAAACTGCTCTTTTCATCAAAAATTCACAAAAGTCC